CCTGGGCTAAACATTCCTGCCCTGCAAATCTAAAGATTTAAATTTATCATGTTGTTACTTTCACTATAATGTTATATTTCCTTATTCCATTTATTTAATTAAGAGCATTTTTCTATTAAGATTGATTTCTGCTAAGGTTGATTGTTCTTAAGTTTATTCAGTCTCAGGTCTAATTCTCATTCATTTTATGATTTTATTCTATTTTTATTAAGACCAATTTTTATTCAGTGTCAGCAATGTTATCTTTAAGTTTTTTTAAGCATGTTTTAGTAATATATATATATAAAGGTTATATATATATATATTTGGTTACATATATACTCTACATGAGTACATGTATTTTATATATATAATATACACTCTACATGAGTATATGTACTTTAACTATATATATATATATATAAAATATACACTCTACATGAGTACATGTACTTTAACAAGTATATCCTTGATGTTTAAATAAGCTTATCTAAGTTCAATTTAAAGAAAATTTAAATAAAGTTTAAATTTAAATAAATGATGTGGCCCATAAAATAATAAATAAATGATAAATTTACTGGAGAAACTAAAAAGGGTATAAAAAGTGTATTATGGTTTTAGGAGCTCCATCCTGCCTCTGCTCTGGGAGCAGAGCTCTGGAGGCTCTCTGGGCTCTCTGCACCCTCACTGCTCCCACCTGCACAGTGGCACTGCCACAGAAATCATTCTTGCTCCCCTTTGCCATCAGTAATGCCACAGAAAACATCAGCTTTAGAGCACATGGAAGTTTCCTAAACAGAGGGTTACACACAAACTATCCAACAATGGAAGGTAAATATATTTACCTCGTACAGCAGCACAGCTCAGAGAGAGCTCACAGCAATTCCCTGAGATAAAAACTCGGTTCAGGACTGTGAAAAGGACAGGCATCTGACAAAAAATAATCTTTTTCTGCTTTCTAAAACAAATTCAAAGTGGTATCACAATTTCCAGTGAAATCAAGAAGCTGGGCCCTGCTGTGGTCTGCAGGGATTTGGAGTTTCTCCCTCTTTTCTGCTTGCAGTCAGTGAGATGTCTGCCAGAGTTCAGTGGGAATAGCACTGGGGGATCTGGCAATGCCTTTGGGGATTCCTGACTGCACCTAAGGAATGGACTTTTGGGCCAGGTTTATTTGCTAAATGTAAAAATTTTCTCACTCTGTTGGATAAATACAATTTGCAACTCACTTTGGAGATGTGCTAGAGGTTTTGCAGCCTTTACAATCTGTCATATAAATCCACATCCAAGTGTCAACATGTGAAGGGGCTGCTTTAGAGGTCCTCTGGGTGAAAACAGGAATGAAATTTCCAGAGCAAATGCTACAAAGATGAATAATTTTTCTAATTATTATAGAAATTATTGTAGAAAAAAGATGCTGATAATAAGAGTCACTAGAATTCAACAGAGTTTTTTGTTTGGTTGGTTTGGTTTTTTTTTACCTGCAATTCAGAACTACAAGAATTGTGAGATTAAGTAGGAGAAATTGCTGAAAACAAACTACTGAAATTGAGCCTCAGATCCAGGTAAGACAACATCAATCTCCTTGCACCTTCCAAGCTTGTCAGCTTTAATGACAGTTTTGGGTATGTGCGGAAAGTGGCCTCAAGTAGGTACAGGATGTGAGAATAATAATAATATTATTTGTGAGGTAATTTCTGAGACCACCATCATGCTGTTGTTGATCACAGTTTCTTTTTATGTTTTTCATTTCCCTTGCCTTTCGCTCTCTGAAAGGTTAGATTATTTTCCTTGTGTGTGGTTTAATTCAAAAAGCCAGCTGGAAAGGTGTGCAGGAGCAGTGGGCGAGTGTGATTCAGAAACCAACTTTGATAGTGGCTCTTAAACCCTCTTCTCCTTTGTCACACCACTTGTGCCTGCTCAAGCTTTCTCCCCTTAGGAGAATTTCTGTGGGCCATAAAAATTTCCAGGAAAGAGAACATCTACCCCCTTTAATGCCTAATCTGGCACCCTTTACTTATGCAAATTTCATCAATGGACAAATGCCCTGATCACAGCAGCTGCACTAATGCAAGCAACATCAAAGACTTGCTCAAAGTTGCTCTGAAACAACTCTGGGACCTCTGAAATGCAAGATTTGGCCTCTGGCCTCACACTATCAGCCATCCACTGAGCTGAGTGGGATTTCCCCAGAATGGTTCTTTTCCTCCCCTGGGCAGAGCCAGGCACACAGGGTGGGCAGAGCCCAGTGCCAGCTCCCAGAGCTCGCAGGGAATGCTGTCAGGTGTCACCTGTGCCACTGGTGCCACCCCGGAGGGGACGGCAGCACAGCTGTGCCAGGAGCTGGGCACACCTGCACTGGGACTGACCTGGGCACCTCTGGGAGCTCCTCCCTCTCACTGAGCTCAGCACCAACTGAGTTTGCTCAGGACCTCCCCAAAATACTGAGGAATATCCAGCACGACCTGGTGATTTATTTTCCCATCAGCATGTGATGTTTCTGTGTATGCACACCCATTTACACACAATCCATGTGTCCTTAAAAATCCAAGTACAGTATATGCTAAACAGCCCACAAGCTAAAAGCTCTTTGCAATCTGGGAGCACAGAGAAAGCAACAGAAATTGTAAAACAAATAAAAAGGAAGTTGATTCTCACAGTTTTCAATTTCAGTGAGCACAAACTATTTTATGTGACTGCAGCTACGACTTAGCAAAGCATTTCAGCATATGCTTCTATCTTTTGCTGAAATACCATCTACAGATTTGTGTGATTTCTTGGATTTGAAGCTTTTAAACTCAAGAGTTTAACACCCTGTCCAAAATAACCCAGACAGCTCTGCTGTGGATCAGAGTGGCCGAGCCTCTCTGTGGCCGCACATGTCACACCCCTGGCACAAGCCAGCAGTGCCCTGGCATTTTTTCCACATATTTTGCTCAGAAAAGCTTTTTCCCCCCTCCTGCCCCATGAGAGACCTGGAATCCTCTCCCAGCCTGCAAAGCCAGTCTGTGCCATATGGAAAATTCACACCAGGGCAGGGAAACAGCACCAGGAGCCCAAATCATCCCCATGGGAATAACCCAAGTTATTTTTCCTCAACCAGGAATGCCAGCAGGCCAGACTCAGTGAGGGGCTTACAACTAAGTCTACAACTGTAGAAAAAAACAACAATGTTAAAAAAAAAAAAAAAGACAATAAATTAAGATACAGCCTTCACCCAGTTTCATAATGTATCGAGCAGTATGTCCTACTTGGGCTGCTGGTGAAGGTTTATCTTTTGCTACAAAAATAATGTCATCTATAGGTTTCATCCTGGAAGCTCTCACTTCAGTGAGAAATGAAGTTTGAGCAGCTGAAAAAGCATTCAAGCCTTATGAGATAAGATAGCAATATAAACAAAAGACATTACACAGCAAAACATCAGGCAGCATGTAAGCTCTGGTCAGTTTTGTATTTTCAAAATCTGAAGAAATATGCTTTTGCTACTTATCAAGCAGAAAAAAGAAAATTTTTGTTCAGTACAGTATTCTCCTGAAGTAAAATCTGTGAATTTATGTATATTCTCCCAAAGCTTCTATAACTGAAGCTTTTATTAAGTAAGCTTGATGTGTGGCATATTTTAAAAATAGCAGCAATATTTTAAAATGTGGAAACAGATGTGTCACTCTATTACAACTGCAGAATCTTCACTGTATTTTTAATAATATGAAGCATTTATATGCTTCTGCATTATAAATCTCTCTTCACTAAACAGATTTCTTCTTTATGATTAAAGTAGTACCACAAAGACATTATTAAACAGATACTGTCCACAAAAATCATATTGTTTTGATCTGACCATAAAATATAGGTATTTTAATAATTGGGATTTTTTCCATAGAGAATTTCAGCAGCTCCCTTTCCTTGGAATGAAATCACAGCCATATGCTTTATGATATTAGAGGCATTTCAAGGTGTCTCCATAAATGTCATTTATTGCTTGGGAACCTGCCAAATCTGCAAAACCCCTTAGTTCTTTTAAAAGAGAAATATTCAGACGAAACTAGCTCTTTTGCACTGGTTGTCATACCAAAAAAGAAAAAAACCCAAATCTCTATTATGGAATACTAGCCATGCAGGTAGCAAAATCTAGGGATAAAATGTGAGCTTTGGCTTGCTTTGGAGCCAAGAGTGCACTGGGCACCCTGAGCCAGCACATTCACACTCACTCAGCCCCTGGAACTCTGCACCCTGAGCAGCCTCTGTGATAAAAACCTGAACTGGTTTAGTGGCCATAGCTGTAAATCAAAATCAGGCACCTCTCAGCATCCTGCTCCCACCACTGGGCTTTCACCCCTCACAGCCTTTGTGATGCCCAGCACCCTGCAGGACTGGCAGCCAGACAGACAACAGACACTCCGTGTCATACACAAATACAATCTCATGCCACATCTACTCCTAATTAGGCATATCTGGAGTTTATCCTGAGATAATGCTGGCCAGATCTAAATAAATCTTGCCAGACATGTCACCAACCTGTCCAGCACAAGGGACTACATTGGAACTCACAGGAATTTAATGCCAGAGTGGGTCAGCCCAGAGGAGCTGAGTGCTGAGGCTCTCAGCTACCAGTGAGCTCAGCACTCTGCCTGGCCAACACAAGCATCCATCAGCCCCACAGTGGTAGAACCATTCTCTCTCCTTGAGGAAGAAAAAGCCAATTTTTTCCCCCCAAACTTGAAGGAAACAAGTTTCCTGCTACAGCTGGAAATAATCTAGGGCAGCACACCAACAGGTGCTTCAAACGTATCGGCAGAGCTCAGAAGATGTTGAGAGAGAAAATGAATAGACTCTCTAAATAATATATAAATTGTACAGGCCTTTTTTTTTCTGCAGAACCCCAGTGAAGTTCCTGTATAAATCAGAAACTGAATAATTCATAAGCGGTGAATATATAACAAATTACTTTGCACTGAGATATTCCTCGCAGGTGCACAGGGAGCAGCAGCGGGCAGGGGAGCTGCCAGCACCAAGGTGCTCCTTACCTGGAGTCTGGGTACTTGGTGAGGGTGGCCAGGCTGCTGGTGTACATGTGTCCTCCTACATCGATGTGCACGGGAGCGTTGGACTTGGTGAGTTGAGCTGGGAGAGGAATTCCTTGAGCAGCCAGAGGAGAAACCGGGGAGCGTGTCAGAGACAGACGGGACATGCTTCTTCCCTCCTGAGCGGGGAGGCAAAAAGAACAGTTTCTCTTAAATGCGGCACTGTGTTACCTTGCTTTTCTCAGTGTGATCACAGATCTAATCAGATCGTTTCTGCATCTGCCTGATCACATATTCAGCTAACAAATTATTGCCACCGCTGTAATTAAGTGTATTTGCATCATTTTCTTCTAAGTACCAGAGGGGAAGAGAAAGATGCTTATTAGCAATAAGAAATCAAGAAAAAAATTTTCAAGGTGTCAGCCTCAAGGGGCATAAAACAAACTGCAAAATTCTAATTAAAGGTCGTGGGCTTATGTGTTAGATGTGAAATATCCCCTGACAAACGAATAACCAATTTGTGAATTGGGATTCAGGGGGTTTTTGCAAGTTTGTCTCAGTAACAAGACACCTCTAAATTAGTGACTTCCTCAGTACCTAAGGCATTTAGTTTATACATGTAGTAAATTTCACTTCAAACTAAGATCAATTTTCTGGCTTATTTTCAATAATTGTGAAATAAATGGATAATTTTCAGTTAAGCCTTAATATTAGACCTAAACAACTAATAAGATTTCAAACTGAAAGCAATTAATACCTAGAAGCAGTGAAAACAAAAAGATAAATAAACTGACCCATACTTTATGGACAAGAAAGCACTGAATAATCTAGCACATGAAATCATAAATTCCACAATCCACCTAATGTCTCCTGCCCTAAAAATATTGGCAAATTAGTGAAATTACTGAACAACAACAACAAAAAAATTCAGCAAAATCAAAGCTAAAAATACTGAAATGCCTTAAAAATGAACAGGACAACCAAGCAAAAGAAAATTCCTCAATTCTCCCCTTAAGAAAAGCACAGTTTATTCTGCACAAAGCTGTGTCTCAAAGCTGATTGCAGTTCAATCGGTGCAGATGGCACACAGGTCAAACAGAAAAAAAACCCTTCTAGAAAAGTTTAAGAAAATGTACATCCATTCCCCCCCTTATGGGAAAAGCAACATATGCAAAACATTATAGCTGAAGACATTTCTGAATATAATCTAATTTTCCTGGTATTCTGTAATTCAAGCATGCTACCAAGCACCCAGGCTCTTCCCTGCATCTGACAAGCACTTTACATGCAGCATTGCAAAGTGAATTTCTATTTCTCCCACGTTACTTTGACAATGTTTCTTACAAATCTACAGCTGGTCTTGCCTTTCTCTTAGCAGTATTTTGCACAAGATGCCCGACTACACCACTTGACGAACATAAATCAGCAACATTCTTTGTAAAATAATTTCCAACCTATAGAGCAGGACTGAAAAATCTTAACAAATCTGAACAGCTTCACAAAGTCACCACAACATCTCCATTCACTGCGTTTCATCTTGGTTAGCTCCTAAGAATTTCCTGCATCTACAGCCCAGGAATACATCACCCCATTGTGGATCCACATGCTTGTCTCTTCAGAGGCTGGATGGACAGCTGCACTGAGCACCAGGCAAATGCCAGCTCTGTCCTAGGACTCCTGTGTCAGCCGATGCAAAATTGGGCATTAACATTTTCACTACAGCACCACCTTCAAGGAAAGTGACTGAATCCTTTCATGACTCAAGATGTTGCTGTCTTGTTTCCCACAAGAGCTTGTTGTGGCCAACCTTCAGTATATATGTCATCTGGCATAAATAAAACAACTAACTTAAAAAAACAACTTAGTATGTAAGTACCTGCAGTATTTTAACAGCGTGTTTACTAATCTGTCTGCCAACACACACAAAGGTTGCTGGTTTTTTTCCTTACCAAAGAGCACTGTAAACTCATGTTCAGTCTCTACTCCTTCACTTCAATGAAAGGGTCAGAAGATCCAGGCTGAATGTCAACCCTGTCTTTGTTCAGACCCCAACCACGCTCACTAATGATAAAGGTATAGACCTTGAACGGCACAGGGCTGCCTCAGAAATAAATCTCACGCAGTTTCACAACACAAGAGTCTAATTAGGGCTCATCTGCACCCCTTGTTACAATTTCCAAATGAAATCAAAGGACTTCAGTCTTCTGTAAATGTGTCTTACATTTAACCATTTGTCTTGAAATACAGACATCAATTTTAAAATATGCACAGATAGCTAAAGATCAAGTGATATGAATCTATTTGTGCATATTTAAACACTGCTGCTATCTTAGGATTTTGTTTAATGTTAGTATACCAGTAAATTCCTTGATCTGTAAAGACTGAGATTCTCAGTGAGGCCATACTCACACAGTAGATATTTAATTTATACTATTCACTGGAGGGACCTTTTGAACAATCCTCTGCTTTTGGCATTTCTCAGCTAGAGCATGTGTTGAAAAAACACTTAATTATAGAAAATCACTGGAAAGCTAAAATAGTTCTCAAACTTTTATGGCTTTTCATACTTCTTGAGGGTGTCACTGGCTTTTGGGGGCAGAGGAGGAGAAGGGGAATCAAAACACTGGCTGGAGAGGATTCATATTAAAAAATGAATCCCAGATTTTTATTAAAATTGTGGAATTCAGTCCTTTTCGTATGAGCTAATTATCAAGAGGCATGACGGCTAAGCACTACTGCTCCAAAAAAAACACCCCCTGTTTCTTAAGGTACCATAACCCTATTTCTAATCACTCCTTCCTCCTCTTAATGTAACACACAGCAAAAATTCATCACACTGAGTAATGTACTTATTTTATGCACAAAGCAAAATCCTAAATGTATTTATCCAGTGGAAGTCTTTATGCACATATTTTCTAATATGGATGAGAAAATTAAAACCTTAAGGGTAAATATCGCAGAAACACTAACAAACTTCATTTATTAAACCATGTAAAATAATCCTTGCTCTTTAGTTGCCTACAACAGGATACAGCATCCCAACCAGTGGCACAGGCAATAACCCTGCTCTAATAAGTAACACAGGAACCTGCTGAAGGCAAAATCAATAGAGCCTGATTCCCAAATTATGTGAATATTTAGTTTTTCAAACATTACACACCAAGATCTTTCAGAGCCAGCTTATCTTTTTCTGCCTTCCTAAGCTAACTGCTTGTAAAAACTATTTGCCCATGCAAAGTGAAATAATCACAATGCCATGCTCATTTACACACAAAATGATTTTGTGTCCCATTGTGCTCACAGTTGTTCAGCTCTCTAGGGGTGATTAAACTAGCTATGCTGCTACAGCTTGAGATGATTTCACTGAATCGTTTCTCCATGAAGTTGCTTCTTTGCTAAGCTGTTATTTTAACCATAAAAGGTAAACAGAAGGCAGTTGTAAGAGCTCCATTCAGCTCCGTGCCCAGGGCTATAACCCTAGGGCAGAGAATGCTGAAAGACTGCAGAATTTTCCAGGGTGTTGCCTTTCTTGCTCTAAAGCCTTCAGGAATACTGTTCATTTAATACACACTCTAGATGATACATTTCAGATCCTACTAAAAGAAAGACTTCAAAAGTGTAAGAAGTTTTGGGCGGATGAAGCTTTCCCACCTCTGCACATAGCTTGGGGCCATGGTAACCAATACTGCTGTTGATGTTGGGAAAATACAGGAGAAATAAACTGCACAGAGCAGAGCAGACAGATAGGGACAAGGGAGGTGAAAGGTTGCAGGAAAGAAACAGGCAGCAGTCTGGAAGGGGGAACGAAAAAAAAAAGGAAAATAATAAAAAAGGAGGCGGCTCTGAAGGAGGGACAAAGTTAAATCAAGGAGCAGGCACTTAAAAGACTACAGATGGGAAGCAAGACTAATTAAGGATGTAAAAGCGCTTTGTTTCTAAAGTTTATTGTTGCCAGGATAAAAATTAATTGAAACTAATGCTGTTATTCACTCGTGCAGTTTAATTCCTTCATGCACATTTAAGACGAGCAATGATTAAGACGAGCAATGAAAGCGGCAGGCAGGTTTAGGACCTGCCGTGGAGCTGCTCTGCCGGGGAGCCGGGCTGGGCCCGGCCGCACCCCCGGGCTGAGGGAGCCTCGGGGCGGCTGCTCCGCTCCCCGGGGTCCTTCATGTCTGTAGGGCAGCCCCAGCAGGGTGAACCCACCCCCTGCATCCCCCCGGCCCCGGCACTGCGGCCACGGTGGCTCCGGGACAGCGGCTGCGTGCCCGGGCTGCCGGAGGGGCACGGCCAGACCGGGAATTACCTTTGTCTGCCCTCACGGGGACGGGGACAGCGACAGCTCTGCCTCACAGCCACCCCCACACAACTTGCTGCCCACTTTGCCGTGCTCCCGGCCCTGAGACAAAGCGGGGCGGGGGGACTGCAAACCTTGGGCTCGGTGGCTCCAAAATTAAAAGTCCATAAACATTTGCACACAGCTCCACGCTGCTGTGCTGAGCACTGCACCGAGACACGGAGGAGATCGTGCCCAAAACTTTTGGGGGGCGGGGGGGGGAAGCAAAGGGGGAACTCCCTATGGGGCTCTGCTTCCCCCCCCCCCCACCACCCGCAAAAAAAAAAAAAAAATTAAAAAAAAGAAAAAGGAAAGGCTTTCTCCTTCCTCCCCCTCTCCCCCCCCCCGCAACCCGCCTCTCTCTGGCAGACTCCAGTCTATTTAGTGCAAGTTTCACGTCACCCAAATGCTTTTCCCTACTGATGGTCAGGGAAATCACCAGCGAGCAACGCACCCGGTCACTCAACTTCTGCCTTTTTCTTTTGAACACACTGCATGCCCGAAGGAAAAATTCAACCAAAAAAAAAAAAAAAAAGGCACAACATGGCGTCCTTTACTTATTCCCACATAACAAGAAAGGAGATGTCTTAGATGAATGCAAGAAAAAAAAAGTCAAGCCCGAATCCCCGATCCTGCACATTTTCCGCGCAGCCAATGGTGGTGAGCATTAGCCAGGCTAATGTATTAATTTTGCAGAAGTGTGCCACATCGCATGCAGGAGCAGGAATGCAAACTATAGCCTAGAGTGGTTTGAAGTCTACCCCAAACCAAGCCTTCCACTCTCACTGGCGCCAGAGTTTCATTCACAGCCCGCCCGTGTTTTCCATACGCGGCGCTCCCCATTGTCGCCCGCCTTCCTTCCCTTTGTGCCGAGCCGCCCCGCCGCCAGCCCCCGCGCCCCGGCCCGCGCTCCCTCCCGCGCCCCGGGCCCGCGGCTCCGCGTGTACCATGCGAAAGCGCAGAGCGAGCCGCGCTGCCTCCGCCGCGCTGGGGCTTGGCCGTCTTCAGAGCCGGGGCCGGGGGGGCAGGGGGAGCGCGGGCACCCCGGGCCGCGGGGCTCCGCCGGCGCTGCCCATGCTGGAGCGGAGCAAAACAAAACATACACACGCACGCACACACACACACACGCACAGACACACACACGCACACGCGCGGCGCTACCAAAGCGGGGCGGCTGCAAACGCGTCCTGTAGCTTTAAAAAAACACCCCTCCGCCGCTGCTCCCCGGAGCCGGCAGCCGAGTGAGTTTGAAGAGGCACTTTCCAAAAAAAAAAAAAAAAAAAGGTGGGGGGGGGGGGGGGTGAAGGAAAAAAAAAAAAAAAAAAAAAAAGGAGCGCGAGCAGGCGCGGAGCGGCGCGATGCGAGGACGGGCGGCGCGCACGGCGCGCTCCGGCCCCGCTCCCCGCTCGGGCGGGCGCACGGGCGGCTGCGGGAGCCGCTGCTGCTGCCGCCGAGGTCCTTACCTTGAGCACAGAAGAGATCTGCGAGCCCCCCTTTGGCTTTGGGCTCTGCCGGGGCTCTGTGTGGATGGGCTCAGCTTTTTTGCTTTTATTACTATCTTTGCTCCGCAGATCCTGCTGTGATTATTATTTTTAAAGCTTCTCTGTCTCCTCTCTCTTCCCCTGTTTTTGCTGCTTCTTTTTCTATTTATTTTGTGAGTGTGTGTGTATGTATGTGTGTGAGAGGGGGGGAAAAAAAGCCTTTAAATGAAACTGCCGAGGCTGTTATGAGAAGAAAGGCAATAATCCCGTCTCTAAATAACAGAGGGAAGGGAGAAGAGGAGGAAAAAAAGCGAATTCTTGCTCAGGGCTTTGCAAACGCCTGCAGGGCAGAGGATTAGGCTACAATTAGCTCAGCCCTTTGCTCTCGCCCTAGCTAATTTTGCGATGAAAATTGGATATTTTTCCCTCCTTTTGGTGAAGGTCTGCAGATTTACTCCCCCATCCCCCACCCCCCCCCCCACCCCCTCCAGAATAAAATAAAATACAGCCCTTGAAAATGAAATAAGGCTGGGAAGGCGGCCGGCTCCCCAGCCCGCGCCCCCGGCGCCGCCGCCCGCAGAGCCGCTCCGCGCGGCGCGGCCGGGGCGGGAGCTGCGCTGCCCCGCGGAGTTCCGCGCAGCCCGGCCCGGCCCGGCCCTGCCGGGGGATAACGGTTCGGTGCTGGGGAGGATCAGGCCACTGTCACGTCCTTCAACAGACTTACTGAAAAGAAGAAGGAGGAAAAAAGGGGGTGGGGGGGAAGGGGGGAAAAAAGCTGATTTTAATCATTGTCATTTGGTCTGATGTAATATTTCCCCAGGCATTTTCAACTAGGCATAAATTTTCAGCTCCCAAATAAGTAACACAGGGCACGTTTCTCACATCTCTTGACTCCTCTGTAACAATTAGGGTAGCACCCACTCTGCACTTGTTGATAAACTAGATGAAGTTAAAAAATAAATAATAAAAAATAGCCCCGACCCCCCCCTTCCCTGCAGCACCCAGCGCCGCCGAGGTGCGGACGGGGGGCCTCGGGGGCGGGGGGGGGCCGCAATTATTCCCAGCCATCCATCCTGCCTGCCTCCCCCTCCCTTTCACCCTTTGCTAATGTCTCGCATTGTAAACGCCAAATTTCCTGTAGGCCATTAAAACCAAATGACGTCTATCGACATGCATTGTGCTATTGCGGAGCGCCCTGGCAGCCCGCCCCCGGCCAAAAGCGCCATTTCAATTAGAGCGCGCGGCGCGATGGCGCGGGGCTCCGCGGGCGGCTCCGCGGGCGCGCAGCGCGCCCGGCCCCCGTACCGGGGGGGGACAGCCAGGGAACCCCCCCGTGAATGAAGGAAAAAAAAAATACAGACAAATCCCTCCCTCAACTTCCAGCCAGAGGCGCGGGTCCGCCGGTGCCCGCGTGTTTCCGCGCGCCGCCGCGGGGGATGCTCCCCCGCTCCGCGCTGTTCCCCACGGAGGCTGGGCGGAGGGAGCGGGGCCGCTGCCGGCGGGCGCACCCGCGGCTCTGCCGCCGCTCCCGGCGCTGTAGGGATTGGTGGGGGGGGGGGCCCTCCGCCGCCTCCGCGCCCGCGGAACGGCGCCGCGCGCACCGGCGGGGCTGCAGCGCCCACTAGCGCGCGCCGCCGCGCGGCCGTTACGCAACGCTGCGCGGCCCCGAGAGGTCAGCGCGCCCCCGCGCCCGCGCCGCCCCCGGGCCTGGCAGAGCGGCCGCGGCGCGATGCGGGCAGGAGGACACCCCGAAACTGGGGGGGTTAAAGTTTTCTGCCGCGGCAGGAATAAACAGAAACTTTTCTCCTAAGGGGAGCTTTTTTTTTTTTTTTTTTTCCCCTTCTAGAGTACAAACTACAGGAGAAGAGGGAAATTTTCTCATTAAAGTTACATCCCTGCAGTTAGTTCAATTACTTGATATATGCAGAAGATGTTGTAAATTTAAAGATTTAAATAGCTTACAAAGATGCCGGAGGCTCCATCAGTTAATTTCCTTAATTTATGGATTTTTAGCTGAGCTTCTGAAATGAAAAGGAGAATGAGAACTAGGTCAGCAGAGAGATTTGCATCCAGAACAGACTAAAATTTGTTTTCCTTGACCATCCCATCAGGCCAGGTGTGATGCTGTGCGGGGGTCACTGTCCCACCTGTGCCCTCCAGGCTGGGGCTCAGTGAGCAGGGCACAGAGGGGAAGGTTTTGTTCTGAAATACCCCCCGAACACCGGCGTGTCCCCAGCAGTGCTGCCTCACCTGATGGAGGCTGTAGCCCGAGTGCTCCCATTTCCTCAGCACTCTGGTCAACAAGTGGATGCGAGGAGGAGCAGCTCCGCTGTGACCTGCACGCAGCCCGAGTTTCACCCAGCCGTTCTGGAGGGGTGCGGGCCGACTGTTTGGAATGACTTGGCGCTATAATTTTTACTTCCTTTGTGAATTACTGACTGCTAAGTGAAAAATAAATATGAGGCTCTCGAACAGCAATCAGAGCTGCATAAAGATAGGATGCTTCAGCGCTGAGGCACGCTAAAGAGGAAAGAGAAGACCTAAAAATACTGCGCTTGTACGAAAAGTAGAAATTGTGATCTGACACATCCCAACACATCTGTGACAGGCACTGTTTAATTGTGCTGCATGGAAATGGGATGCACGGATAATAAAGATTCCGATTGTTTGTTTGCCTGTAGATCAAAGCAGACACAGTAGCACTTGGGATGAAAAGCCTGTGCGTGGTACAGAACTTGTGCGGGATTGTTTTTACTGTGTCTGAGAAAAGGACAATGGACTTGGGAGCTTTGTGTTTTTTCTTGCCTCTATTAATGTTGAAGGTAATAAAGGTTCCAGCTCTATATGCACGCTCTCGTTTCTTTCTTCTCGCTCAAGTGTGTGAGTGCCTTTCTGTTGTTTTGTTTCAATATGTAAGAATATATACATATGAATCAATACTTAAAAGATTTATATAAACTAAACAGTTTTAGGAAGCAACATTGCCGTATGATTAGTATTGGTGTTCGTGATTTAACATTTCTTTTCCCACTAGATGAAGTTTCTAAGATTTGCAAGGTACGTGTCAAGGACGGGTATATAAATGGATTTTTATTTATTCACAACTCCAAGACTAATTGCTTCTCTTTGCCTGAAGGCCAAGAGATTGGTTTTAATATGACACTTCAAAAGTATTCATAGAACTACAGAGATACTAAGTGTCATTGTTTAAGAGAGAAATCTCGCTATGTTACTTGTGACCCTGAAAATAAAATCTTCCACTGTATTTTGAATCCTAATGTTGTTTTTCAGAGTTTCACTTCAAGCTCAACTATCAAGAAGTGTACAAAGGAAAATATTAAATAGTATGTAGTGAACAAAAAAGAAGAAATACTCTTAGAACTGAATATAACTTATTTTCTCAATAATTCTATTATCCTCCCTATAAAGCACTACAAAATTTGTGGCAGAAGATTCCTGAGCTCGGTTTCAAGATATAAGAATTAGAAATTATAAGTTGTAATTTATCATAGGTGCTTAAAAGTTCTTAACCAAATGCCCAGCATGTTATTACAATCATAAGTACTTCCAAATACGTACTTTGGAATTTTTTTCCTTACCAAAAATTCTTTTTATTCTCTGCAGATGCTTAAAAATGGAATTGGACAGAACTATTCTGTGATCTTTTTTATACCAAATTATTCTATAGTTTACTTTCATTTTTTAAAATAAATGGGTAAAATTTACACTTAAGACAGTATGAAAGAGAAGCCATGAGGAACTCCAGCTCATTTTCTTTTTTCTTTCCCCCCCAAAAAATAATAAATTGTGTGTATGTTACAGGACAGAATATTACTAGATTGTGAAAATATGCTGATTTGAAGGAATATAAGTTTCCTATCAAAAAGATTATCCAAATATATTTCGAGATGTGTGAAAGAAAGTGTCACAAATTGACAAATAATATCAACCTCTTCTGCACCGTGCTCTCTGAATTAGAGCGGGATAACTCCAGTTGGTGTTGTTCTTGAGGGCCTTTTGTGACTTTGTGGTAGTAGATCTCATCCTCTCTTAGTCGTTGCTCTTTTCCTTACTTTATGGGTTTTATCCTGAGGTTTAAACCTGACTTCAGCACTTGTTATGTTACATAACTGAACTTGAGGCGTTCTGGTGATGATACCAACATTTCCACCAACTACCAGTGTGGAGTACCTGGTCCTCACTGAAACTCACCATGTTCTACCAGGCATTTGAAGATAAAGCAGGAAGAGAGGGAGGAAAACGATAATTTCATTAAATGTTTAAAGCGGATAAATGAGAATTAAGGGGCTGTTCCTTTAAAACAAAGGAATCAATGTCTATATGTAGATTAATACTCCTCCCAGTCACAGTTAAGACACCACTGTAGCTTAGATGGAGTTTTGTCTTGGAAGAGAACATCTGAGTGAATAATTGTGATTTCAAAAGCCGTTGCTGGACACCAGGTGCCTGTTCAGCCAGCAAAGGCTCCATGACTGTTGCTTTCAGTGGGTTTTCACAGCTGGGTTTGGCTCTGTCTCCTGGGCCATGGAGGCACTAGGGACAAACACATCTGAACACAGAGGTTGGTGACCGTGGGTGCTCTGGCTGCCACCATCGCTCCCATCACTGGAAATGAGGGACAAGCAGAAGCAGTGGAAAGCTGATGTTACATATGTGCTGAGCCTCCAAAAAGATTTGTTCTTGTGAGGAACCTGAAAATATGAAGCATCTTGAAATGCCAGTACTTGCTGCAGTCAGTTGACACATGAGGAATAATAAAAACAAAGGACATCTCCCAGCTGAAGCAAGTTTTCAAGCCAGTTGCAGTGCCAGTCATTCTGGAACAGGAACTTGGCCCAGGCTTTGCTAATTAAGTCAAATAATTGTTTGTCATTTGTAGACAGATGAGAGGTTTCCTGAGAGCAGCAAGCATGACCACGCAAAGAACAAAATCTGATCATTAGGAAATAACCAAGTCTTGTCAGTCTTTTCCCTTGAATGCTCTTCTATTCTTTTCAAGAAACAGCTTGCTGCTGAGTAAGTTTACAAACCATTACTTTATTGACTAAATACAGATGGACTGTTTTTAAAACTATCCATTATCCAGTGCCTAACTCGTGACAGCAGTATGATACAAAGAAATAATCTGTCCTGGAATGCCAAGATGAAATAACTTGTCAGGAAATACAGTATAGGAAAGGTTTGTTTGTCTCTTCTGCTTCCAACTGTTATAAGCCAAAGATCACTTCCAAAATGAAATTTACATAATCAAGATGTCTTGTGTTAATGTTCAGCATGGTGTTTCAAGTTTCACACATTTTGTTAAGTGCTCTGCCTCCTCTTATGCAGGTTATAAAACTGAGGAATGTTTTTAACCTGTCTA